TTTAGGAAATAATTAATTTTTTTAAAATTACTGCTTAATTTCTTGATTTCATGGCAAAACAAAGTCATTTAAATTAGTTATTAATTACTAGAATCCAGTTGATTGAGGTGTAGGTAATTAGTTTTAATTTATTATAGTTCTTTTTGCTTTCCATAATTTAGAACCATAGGTTCATAAAAAAAAAAAAAATCATAGTCTTCAATTTCGGACGGTTGAAAAATGCGTTTTACTTTTTGTTTTCTGTTTTTTATTTTATTTTTTTTATTTTTGGACCATAATACGTTATACTTTTTGTTAAAGAGATAATTTTGTAGTAAAAAATCAGCAAAATAATATTGTTGTTCTTTATTTGAATTTTAGAATCTCATTTCTAACAAAAAGAATAGTTTCAATGGAATATAATTCTCTCTCTCTTCGTGTGGTTAAAATAAAAAGAAAGAACTAAGAATTAAAAAGCAGAAAATACTCTTTATGGTTTTCTTCTCACCTCGCCCATAGAAAGGAGATACCTTTGATTACCTTACATACCAAAAAATGCTTTTATGCTGGTTTATTGGTTAATTTAGTGTTTCTTTAAACTAATTTACCATGTTAAAATAAACTTTTATGTATAATTTTAAAGATGCATATCAAAAAATATATATTTTTTTAAACAAGTTGTCAAGGATAAGCTCGAAGCTCGCCCATAGAAAAGAGGAATGCACCTCAAGTTGATAGAGTACCAGTTGACTCGAAAGGTCAGGTGCACATATTAAGATAACTTAATATATTTAAGAAAAGTAAATTTTATAAAGTACTTGATATGTTTAAAATTTAAATTATAAATATGATATACAAAATGAAACTAATTACGAGAGAAAATAATTTAAAAATAATTTTTTAATTATTTTTTAATATAATTTTATATATTATTTAAATTATTAATTTTTTTATCCATTTAAAATTTATGATATTAATTATAATTACTCATCTAATAATTTATGAAAATTATATAAAAATTACAAAAAAAAAAAAAACCATTTTTATTTCACTACTCAATTGCAACACACAAATAATCAAATAGCATGGATCTCAATTGTGCTTTTGAGCAGTACAGGAACAGTGTGAGAGAAAGGGAAACTAGGCGACAGGAAGCGAAGGAGAAAGGAAAGAAATGAGAGAGGGGATCAAATGACATGGAGTGAAATTTACGGAAAGGTTAAGAATATTTTCAAAACTTTCGTTTTTTAATATTAAAACAGTACATTTTCATTTTCCACTGTCATTTCACCTTTTTTAGAGGTAAAATTTTGTTTTTTATTATTACAATATTTTTTCAATTTAATAATGGCAAATAATCCAAATCTAAAAAGAAAAAAAGAAAAAAAGAAAAACCTTAGCAAACCTTCATCAACAGAGAACTGTGCTAATGCACCCGGCGAAGGTCCCCGAAGTGGAACACTAGAATCAAGCATACAAGATTATCGGCACTCACTTCAATCTAATCAAATTCCTGGTAATTTCTCATATCTCTCTGGTTTTGTTGTTTTTGATTCCTTTGGATGACCTGCTCCGACTCTCTAGGTCGATTTTCTTACATGCCGGTTTTGTTTGATCTCCAAAGGCGGATGCTTATGCTTATCCCTTTCTTGTGGATCTGAAAATCATTCCTTTTAATGCTTATCATATTCTGATTGTTGGTAATTAATTGGGTTAGATCCCTTTCTGGCCGATCTATTTTGTCTGAGAAGTTGTTGATGCTGTGCATTTTTAATGTAATATAGATCTGCTGCGGTTTCATTTAGTGGGTACTCGTAAAAATGACAACTTGGATAGTGCTTTAGGTATGTTGGGAGGAAAGAGATATTGGGGTAATTCCTCTTTGGCATCAAAATGCTCCTGCTTTATGTTTCTTGTTCTTTAGGGACATGTATGTTTATTGGGAGTGTTCTCTGCATGCTTTATTATTATTATTATTATTTTTATTT